TGCTGGACATTTTTCCTCCCTAGGTGCAGCACTTTGCATTTCTCCTTGTTGAATTGCATTCTGTTGTTTTCTGCCCACTTGTCCAACCTGTCCAGGTCTGCTTGCAGCTGTTCCCTGCCCTCTGGCATGTCCACTTCTCCCCACAGCTTTGTGTCATCTGCAAACTTGGACAGAGTACACTTCACTCCCTCGTCCAAGTCGCTGATGAAGACATTAAAGAGTATCGGTCCAAAGACCGGGCCCTGCGGGACCCCACTGCCCACACCCTTCCAGGTCGATACCGACCCATCCACTACAACTCTCTGGGTGCGACCCTCTAGCTAATTCGCCACCCACCAGACTGTGCAGTCATCCAAGTCACAGCCTCTTAACTTGTTCACCAGTATGGGGTGGGATACCGTATCGAAGGCCTTCCTGAAGTTTAAGTAAACGACGTCAACCCCTACTCCTTCATCCAGGTGTTTTGTAACCTGGTCATGAAAAGAGACTAGATTAATCAGACATGATCTACCTTCTATGAACCCGTGCTGGTTTTCCCTCAGCATAATTTGTCCTGCCGGGCTCTTGCAAATGTGAGCCTTGATAATTTTTTCAAAGACTTTGCCAAGGATGGAGGTGAGACTTATTGGCCTATAGTTGCCCGGGTCCTCCTTCCTCCCCTTCTTGAAAATGGGGACCACATTGACCCTTTTCCAGTCCTCTGAGACCTGGCCCGTGCACCACGAGTGTTCAAATATTCCTGCCAGTGGCTCTGCAATGACGTCAGCCAGTGCCTTCAGCACCCTCGGATGGAGCTCATCCAGGCCTGCCGACTTAAACGCATCCAGTTCCTCCAAGTGACTCTGCACCATCTCAGGGTCTACGCATGGTAGTCTAGCACCCTCCTGCTGCCTCTCTACAATCCAGTGAGAGACTTGTCCTGCCCCTCACTTAGGAACACTGAGGCAAAGAACTCGTTGAGGAGTTCAGCCTTGTCCCCTCTGTCTGTCACCAATTGCTCCTGCCCATTTAGTAGGGGTCCTATTCCACCTTGGTTGGTCCGCTCCCGGACACTCCATGCAGCACCTCCTCTCCCGAGCTCCCAGACATGTTCCATGAGTTGGGGACCTGAGCCACCCAAACACTCTAAAGGTTGTCCTACTCAGTGCAACAGGCTGTGCACCGTGTCTGGCCTCACGCCAGAGATTTCAGACCCCAGCCACCTCATGCAGCTCCCAGTGCCTGGATGCTGTGTGCCGTGCTGCACACGGAGAGCCTAGCTGCTGGAGCCGTCCACCATTCCCCGCTCATGGGAGTCTTCAGGGGAACTTCTGGGCTATGGCTTCAGCCTGCTGAGCAGCTCTCCTCAGCTCTTCTAACCCCTCTCTTCTCTCTTCTCTGCCCCGGATGCGTTCTCCTTGTGCTGGGCATGCAGCTCCTTTTATACTCTCCAGGGATGCACCCCTGAAATCATCCAGACCTGAGTGTAGCAGTCTTCAATCAGGTCTGGGAGCGGGGCGGGGAACTCCTCTCCCCCTCCCCTCAGGAAAAGGGTGTGACTGAACTCCTCTTCCTGCCTCCTGATTGGTGGATGGGCTCCACCAATCACAACAGCAAGATTTCAAGCCTGGGACTCAACCCAAGCTCCAAAAGGCAAGCCTGCTACATGTGTTTGGGAAGAGAGGCCTCTCCGAGGCAGCACCAGGGGCTCAGCTTGCAGGGCAGACCTCAACATGTGCTGGGCATCCACGCCCCGTTGTGCTCTACTACGAGCCAGGGAGAGTGGGACCCTGCTCCTTTCTGGTCTAGAATAAAAATGGACTGCCAAGAATTGGCACTTCCCCCTGCCAGAAGTTGCTCCCCAAAGCATTGTATCTACTTGTGACCACATGGAGAAAGTCCAGTCTGGGGGGCAGGTTTCTGCAAGGGGGGGGGGCAGTCACTTGAGAGGACATCCTTTCAGTTGGGTGCAGGTTTTGTCCTCATCAGGTTTTACCCCTCCTCCCACCATCAGTCTTGGATCTACAAAAGGGTCCTGGTGGTGTTGCTCATGAGGCTGTCATACACCAGCTAGGCCTTGGCCCACAGTCCTGCCAGTCCCCAGTCCTTCCCCCAACCTCAGCCACCCTGCAGGCAGCACGCTCTGCACCTCCAGCCAGCTATGCCCTTCATGCCCACTCCAGCAACCACACAGCCTCCCCTACTCTAGCCTCTCCTACCCACCCCACCTGCCTGACCACATTGTAATCACCCCCAACTCCAGGCAGCTTTCCCACTTCCTCCAAGCCTCTTGCTCCCATTTTGGCCAACAATACATCCAACCATGGAGCATCCCCATGCACAGGGACATGAAGGCAGGCCTTCGTTTGCCTGGCTGCTACTGCAAGACAACATGCAGGTGGTTGTGCATTCATTCCCTCCCACTTGCCCTCAGGATGTTACTATTATGCCATGATTTCACTGTAGGCTTGGGGGGAGGAGTGGTCTGAAGCTTTGCGCCATGAAGTGAAGCAGACCAAATCAGAGGCTGCCTTGGGGAATATGGCATTCTTCTTCCTGTGTCTTGGTAATGCAGTGGGGTAATGAGGGCAGCAATCAGGTGAAGAACTGAAGTAGGTGTGCAGCCCGGGTACATCTGGGGATGTGCCCTGTCCCCAAGTGGAAGGGATGCAGTGGTCAGGCAAGAGTGCTGTGAAAGTGGCCTGGCACCTGGGAGCAGTCCCCTCCCTTCTCTATAGAGCCAGGCTGAGACAAAGTGCTTAACTATATGCACATTTATTGCAACAGAAAAATAAATATGAATAAGAGACATTAAATAGTTACAGTACAGTTAGTATGTGGCACCACATACAATAATCTGCATCAACACATTGCACCACTTTGAGGGCCTGCAAAACAACCTGGGCAATTCACAGCATAGGCAATAATGAAGCCCCCTGCACAGAATGAACGTTAGCACTCTGCAACACAGACACACACAGAAGCATGTACCCATGGAGCTCTCTCTCTCAGTCTCTGGATAGACTTGTGAGTAATTTACCTGGAATTTAGGCAGTAATTTAGGATTAAGTAATCTAGATGCATATCAAAAGGGTCTTCAAACCCATTCTGATTTGCTCAAGGTGTTTTTCTTTCAATATTCCTTTGTCTTGTACCCCGTCCTCACCCGCTTTTTCTTTCATCAAGAAAACCATCTGTTACAGCACTCCTCACTGTGAATGCTCAAGAGGGTGAGACTAGCCTTTTACCTCCCTTTGCTTGGCTAGATAAGATGGGCATGGCTCTTTACTTCCCTCTGGTACAGGAGGCTACTTGTAAATGCTTCCAGCTAAAAGAAGCAGCCCAAAATACCATGGTGGGTTAGCATCCCCAAGGTCAATAGGGTCTGAGAAATTCAAGCTGAGCAGAGCCCTTACAGAGACCAGAGCCCAGGTCATGGCAGCAATTACCCCAGGGTTATGGGTGTGCTCCAGGAAAGGGGTTGGCCAGGCATAGGTGCCCCAGGGGAGACTCAAAGCGTGGTTTTGGTCAGGCACAGTGAGGCAGGTACCTCAGCCTAGTAGTGCCCCCTACTGTCCCAGCACAACAACAACTTAAAGGGCCACTAGTATATCAAAGTATAACAGACATCTAGTAAACAGTATCTTAGCTTACCTTTCTTTGCTGAATGCCTGCCCAAATAGGAAGGTCATTCGGTGCTTACCAAAGATCTCCAGGCGTGGCTCTTTTGAGCCTCAAAGGGAAGGAGTTGCAGAGCTCAGCTCCTTTTGAGGTGAGGTTGGAAGAACCGGGACATTTTAGTCTGGAGAAGAAAAGATTGAGCGGGGATTTGATAACATTTGCAAATACCTGAATCGTAGCTATGAGGAAGATGGCTATATACTGTTCTTTCTTGGATAGTCCAAGGAAGAAAGGCCTCAAATTGCAGCAAGGGAAATTGAGGCTGACGATGAGGAAGAACTTTCTGAAAAGGAGAGTGGTGAAGCTTTGGGAAACATAATGCTACAGGGGTTGTGGGATCTGCTTCCTGCAAAGTTTTCAAGAGCAGATTAGGCAAGCACCTACCTGTCTGGGGTATTTTAGATAAGGCTTATCCTGCCTAAACCACAGGGTTGGACTAGAGGTCATCTTCAGCCGTACTTCTCTATACATTTTTTAAGAAGGAACCTCACAGGGTTTGTTCCCAGTCCTTTTAGCACCCAACTGCATCTCGTAAAGTAAACTGAAAGGGATCCTTTTGAGGCTGTTTTGTGCAGACTGAAACTAGAGCTCTCTCAGGATCTCCTCTTCCTGCTGTCTGCGCTGTGCAGTGCTATTAAGCAGTGTGTCCCTACCTCCCAGCCTGGGATAAACAGCCACACAATACATCACAAACCCTGATAAATTAACCACATGCAAGATGCTGAGCTGGACATGACTCATTAATGCTGGTTTCGCTTCATGACTTCCATACACCAATGTAAGCATATCAAGTTCAAGAGAGAACACAAGTTTTACCTCTGATTTTTCCTGGAATAACTCTACCCTAGATTGTAATAAATGGGAATTCAGTAGGGTGAAATGTTGTGAGTTTTCTCGTTCACATCGGTATGCATGCAGACCCAGAGGGAAAGAACCACCCGAGGACAGAAGCCGTAGCAGAAAGAGTCACACACAAGCAAGGAGGCAGAGTATTATGTAGCATTATGTTTTGCATCATCAGACTTTGCATTTCTTGGCCCTTGGGAACATCAGGCCATGGTCTTGATCAAGATGAACCCGGCCATGATGGGAAAGCAGGGCATGGTTAGAAGGGTCCATCCAGAAGACTTGCTGGCTGCAGGAGAGGCTGGTTTGCATTCAAACTGGGTGAAATCCATGGAGAAGCCTTGGCCTGCCTTCATCAGTACTTCTGGACGTGTGCACTCAGACAGAGCAATACAGCCTTTTACTGCGGTGTTCAAAGTGACTTCCCCTGAAGGGCAGAAGAAACACACACTGAGCAGTGTGGCAGAAAGCCACCTTTCTCTCTCCCCAAGGTCTCTGCTCTGTGACAGTTGGATAACGATGGGCCCAGCAGAGAGACACATCCTTACCCTGTCTCTTTAGGTAACCTGAGCTGGATACATTCCTGAGGGAGTGGGAAAACCTGTTCCCTCTACCTACGTCACTGGCATCACATAGCTGGGCAAGGGGCTTCCTTCCTGGTAGGCTAGAGTCTGCCCAGCAGCTAGTGATGTATTTCAAATTGGTTGGCTCACAGCCAACAGGTGCTGGCCTCCATTGGACCAGGTAAATGGGGTCACAAGGGTTATGTAAGTTAAGGACTGCCCAGGAAGAGAGGGCAGCAGCCATGAGGGATACTCAGGAACAAAGAAAGAAGAGCTGTACCATCTGAAACTGGCTCTCTCTCTCAAAACTCAAGATCAAGGAACTGCCTGCCTCCGGAAGGGATCTCCAACAGCCTTTGGACGATACTTGTGAGTAAGCTACCTGAGATCCAACTAGATATACAGCTTGCAGTAACTCAGATGCGTGATCAAAGGCTACCACAGCCACAGGAGTTTGCTCAATGGGATTTCTCTGATATTGCTCTACCCTGTACCCTAGTCTAACCCTACCCTCTGTAAGCAATAAAGTTCTCCTTTGTACCTAGTCTGGGAGACTTATTGAGGGGTGGATTTAATTATACCCAGGAGGACCCTTCGGTCAGCGGACTAAGGGAGACTATCCTTTTTGGCCCCCGACTTGGGGAAGTGCCCCAAGTTCTTGTATTGGGTCGAGTACCCATAGAACTACTAAACCTGTGTTTCCCCAAGGACAAAGGCCCCAGACAGTCCCTTCTCGGGGCGGTGGCAGCAAAGGTTGCTCCCGGACTCTGCAGTGGGGCTCAAAAGGGGGTCTGCCAGGGCTTAGGCACCCCTGGGGAGAGACACATGGAGTCCGGAAGGTGGACGGGTGTGGTGAGGTGGGAGGCTCAATGAAGGAACTCCACCTACTGGCCCGCCACAAGCATAAAGGCATCTCTTACCGGCCCTTGCAACAACCCCCCTCCTAGGCCTCACAGCCACTCCCTCCTCCTCTGAGCATTGAGCACCCTGACGCCAGCACCAGGACGCACATCAGGTCCTGCATTAAGACACCGTAAACTTCTCTCTGGTCTTTTCCCCTGACACGATCTAGAGAGATTCTGTTAAATAAAGAGGGGATGAATTCACTTTGATATTCATCAAATGCAAAGGCTAGGGAGGGTGCAGGGTGGACAATGGCACTAGCATTAGGGATGTGGATTTCTTCATTTACTTGTTTGCTGTCTACTTTCCAAAGACTAATGGAGGACAAGAAGCCTTGTGACTTTTACCTCCCCAGGGAATCCCTCTGCTTGTGATTTACCCCGAGGAGTTGTCTAATCTGGCAATCTCAGGGCAGCAATACAGCTGCAACATGATCACATCATAGAGATGATGCAAATAGCCATGCACTGAAATCCAGACACGGGTTTTATTCAGTCCGGTCGCTTCGTTATGTTGGTACCGGTAACCTTGCGAGTTCTCTTTCAGAGACTGAAAAGGCTGATCCATGTCTGATGAAATGCCGGCTGTTGAGAGTTTTGTGGCTGAGACTCTGGGGGTTTCTTCCAAGCAGCAAGACAGTTTGCTTTGCTCTCTGTACAGGGAATGGCTCCTGGAGGCAGTTGCCCCCTGGGAAGCTGGGACTGGTTGTGGGGACTGCGATTGCTGAAAGAAAGGGCTGTGTGCGTGCTGTCTGTGCCCACCTCTGGCCAAGGACTCGTGTCTCTGGTGTGAGTGAGTGAGTCACACTCAGATCTCCAGCTTCCCTGGCTCTCTCGTCCCCTCCAGCAGGAAGCAAATCTGCTACAATCAACACACAAACTTTCTTATAACCAGTACTCTGCTTTCCCAGAGTGGAGGTCACAGCTGGGGGCAGCCTGTGGACAACCCAGCACAAGAGCTGGCCCTGGCTGCATGGTTTTCCTCCGGGTGCTTTAACACTGTAAAAAAGCCATGTCACATGAGGAGGCTTTTTCAGCCAGGTCCCTGCAACCCATGGTCAAAGACGTGTTCCCCTTCCCTTTTATTCAATGGTCCTCAGCTCTACTTCCATTTATTTGCCTCCTTTTCTTTCTCTTAAATGTATTTCTTGCAATGGGATTTGTAAGATCAAACAACAAATGACAGCACAGAATGAGTAAACTTACCCATGCTAAATGACCCAGCGAAATCAAAGCAGTAGGTCTCCGACCCAGTACAATATGCAATCTCAGTGTCACAGTCAGAAGATCCAATGCTGAAGCATGCTGGACACTGCAAGCCATTGGGAGTGGTGTTCAGTGGTGGCACTGGGAACAAGCAGATCACAGTCGGGTTTGACAAGGTTAGAAGGGAAATGTGTGCATTCGAGATCTTCTCCCCTGTCAGCCTCTCAACCTTACCGGCAGGGGCACAGCTGTAGCTCCGGACGTGCATGAGCAGCATGGTCCAGTGTCCCCTGGGCTCCTGTGTGAAGCCCTGAAATCTTTCTCTGCTTAGTGGGAGTCTCCACACCTGTGCATTTTGCCTCCCAGCCCCAGGGCTGTGGGGTCTTACCCCGTGCAAGGTCCCCTGCAGGGATGGCAATGCTTCTCAGGAGCTCAGGACCACCTCCAGCAGGGCAAGCGAGACCTGCCACTGACAGCTCCCCCCACACGTAACCTGTCCTGCTTGCTGGTCAATAGGGCTGTCCCTGCCAGGCTCTGACCAAACTGTGTTCTTGCTGAAAAGAAGGCTAATGGCATCCTGGGCTGCATTGGTAGGAGTGTTGCCAGCAGATCAAGGGCAGTGATCCTTCCCTTCTATTCAGCACTGTGGAGGCCACATCTGGAGTCCTGTGTCCAGCTGTGGACCCCACTACAGAAAGGATGTGGACACACTGGAGAGAGTGCAGGGGAGGGCAGTGAAGATGGTTGTGGGGCTGGGGGCCAGGACTGGTGAGGAGAGGCTGAGGGAACTGGGCTGATTTAGTCCACAGAAGAGAAGGCCAAGGGGGATTGGATAGCAACCTTCACCTCCCTGCAGGGGGGCTACAAAGAGGATGGAGCTGGACTCTTCCCACTGGGGGTAGATGACAGGACAAAGTGCAATGGGCTCAAGTTGCAGCAAGAATATTTGAAGTTAGATATTAGAAAAACTTTCTCAGAAGGAGGCTGGTAAAACACTGGAACAGGCTCCCCACACAGGTGGTGGACTCTCCATCCTTGGAGGTTTTAAATACCAGACTAGGCAAAGCCTTGTCTGGGATGATGTAGTTGGGGCTGGTCCTGCTTTGAGCAGGGGTTTGGACTAGATGTGACCTCTTGAGATCCATTCAACCCTCATGTTCTATGACAGTATCAAACCGCCAGGCTGGTGCCAGCTCAGGACAAAGCAGGACTCATAACTGTGACTCAAAAATGAGCCTCCTTGTGATGGGTGGATGGGGAGGGAAGGAGGAGAAGGAGACACATACGTTGGACAGAAGCAGTTTGACAGGCCTCCCCGGTGCAGCAGGCGATACTGTTTCTATTTCTTATTCCTTTCCCAAAGTCCATACTAAAATGGATATTGGGACACACATCAGAGCTGAGACAGGACTTTGCGTAAGTCACCACCTTCACTCCACCTGGAACAAAAAGGAACACAGCACAGAGTTAAGAAACCACAATTGTTACCAAAGGACTTTCCTCCGTGCGCTTGCATCATTGCTGCCCTGGTACAGCACGACCTTGTCCCCACATTATATACCAATCATGACATGGTCAGGAGATCCTGGACTCCTCCTGAAGGATGTATTGCAGAGTACTCAAGCCCCAGCTCGACATTTGTTTGTCTACTCTAAACATGCAGAGCTTTCTTAATCTTAAACTCTCTTAATCTTCAATGTGTTCCCGTCCAGGAGCCCAGCGCAGGGATCCTGGAGCACAGACATGCTGCCAGATACACAGAGATGTACGCTCCTGCCCAGCTAACAGCCAAGGTGTCGAGGAAGATGCTCAAATAGGTGCATTGGGCAGTGAACTGGATATTTGGGCCTCCTGTGTGCTCTTCCCCTGCAGGTGTTGGAAGGGAGCAAGAAACACTGGTGGGGTTAGTAACTGCACCTCGAGCTCTTCATCACAGGGCACCAAAGGACTTCACAAGAGGCTTCATCCTGGACCTTTAATTTCTAGGGAAATGGAAGTTGGTGTGGGGGTGGGGAAGTAAAGCTATTTTAAAGTACCTCTCACCTACCTAGTATCATTTCACTTTTGATAATACCACAGGTATCTTCGCCAGGATCGCAGGTCTCCATGGGGCCAGAACAGCTGTCCCCTATTGCTTCACAAACTTCACACTGGAGAGAGCTGCCTGGAGGAGGAAAGAGAACCGTCGTCCCTCGAGTGAGCGTTACCCCCATTTCTCCTTCCAGCTCCTCTGCTTCACCACCTGCTGCCTCCCTGCTTCCCTTCTGCATCTCCGGACATCTCCGAGCGCTCTTGCAGCCAGCCCACGTGAGCGACAAAGCAGGTGCCTCCTTCTCTTTTCTTCCTCCCCGTTTGCCCTACATTTGCCCCAGTTGCTTCCTACATTTCTCACATTTTATTTGCTACTTGCTTATTCCTGACTTCGATCTGAACTCACAAACAGCCCAGCTCTGTGGTCTTGTCTTCCCTGAAGTGCTTTTTTTTTCTTTGCGCAAGGCTCTAAATATAGGGAAATGGAGCTGGGTCCAAAAAGGTAGATGAGGCTCATACAGTCACAAAGAGGGGCCAAATGCAGCTGATTCCCTCCCTGTCCACCTGCCTAGCACTTGTGTCCCACAGAGCCCATCCCCGCAGGATCTGAGCATGAGGGATCAGGCAGTGTCTAAGGGATGTGACTGGATGAGCCCAGAAGGGACGTGGTCTGGGGCTGAGAGGTTTGACCATGACGCATGCCCTGGGTCCAAAGCCCTGCTGTACAGGATGAGGCTTGCAGCCATCCAGACCCATTCTGCAGTACGTGGCACATCCCAGACCGTCCTGAATGAAGGGGGCTGAAAAGGGCCTGGAGGGGCAGGAGCTGGATGGGGGCTGGAGTCAAGTCGGTGATTGGGCATGGAGGACGGGAGCAACAGCTGAGGTGAGGGGCTGCTTCCAGGGAAGGAGGCATGAAGAAGGGAGAACAGGAGAACGAGATGCTGTGGGCATTGCCTCGCATTACCTGTTCGCTCGTTGCCCCGGCACCAGATTGATCTTCCCCATTGTCCCTTGGTGCCTGGGAACGAGATCACTCCCGCGCCTACTGCCCAGTCCCAGCCCTCGGGGCTCCCCTTGGCGCAGAGCTGAGCTGTGCCATCAGGCCTGCAGGGCTCCCAGAGTGGCTGGGATTTTGGGGGCGAGGGGAGCAGGGGCGGGACCCCCTGCTGAAATCCAGGTTATAGGGTCGCACTTTGGCAGCAGGGACAAGGGATGCATTAACCCCTGCAGCAACATGGCCCTGCTCACCATGCTGCGCTGCCACCTGCCCCTCTGCTGGAGGCGGGTTCAAATCCATCCACAAGGCACTGTCACTGGGGTGAACATCTAACCTCCGTGCTGTACAGCTGGCAGGTTGGATGTGCCTCCAGGGTCACCTCGTGCAGCCCCTGCACGGACACACACGTCACTGTCCCTAACACTTTCCTGATAGACGCCTCTCCAGCCTTGCTTGACAACCCCCAGTGAGGATCCCACCATCGCCTTCCTGCAGGCAGCGTGTGCCAGGGTCTTCCTATTTCTGCAGCTGGGAAGCTGGGCATGAAACCATCTTCACTGCTTTGAGATCCAGAAAGCAAATTCCTTCCTGCTTCTGATGTCTCCCCACACCGCCGCGGGTTGGTGCCTGGGATCGTGCCTGTGCCCTGATCTGAGGAGCAGCCGGGGTAGAAAGGCAAAGGGAGGCACGGCCCTGACTGCTGCAGGGAGTGGGAACAGGCGCCGCCACTGCTGGGCTCAGCGCGGCACAAAAGGGTCAGGGCCTCTCGCCAGCTGCTCTGGGTGCGAGGGCCCGGGATGGGAGGACTCCCTGCTTCTCCTCGCAGCAGCCCAGCGCTTCACTAGCTCCATCCTGGGCAGGGGACCAGAGTCACCCCTTGCAGA